CATGACAGAGGAGGACAGAGTGGGAAGATCACATGTATTGGTTCAACCAGATTTACAGTCTGTCTGTCCACTTCCCACCTGCCCTGAGTGTCTCTGCTGACCCACAGCTGGCCCTTTACCACCCACAGACTGCCCACCAGCTCCTCGCCCCATGCGTCTGTGCACCCCCGACAGCTTGTGTGGTAAACACATGATGTCCTGCCTTGTGCCGGGCACAGAAGATGCAGAAATGTAAAAGCACAGCCCCACTTTCAGTGGCCTGGCAGGCGAGGGCAGACACAAAGAGATGATTCCACCTCATGTCATTAAGATGGTGAGAGAGTTGTGCAGAGAAAAGCCAGGGCACAGATGAGGGGGCCTTAGCTCCTCTGGGTGGGAGCAGGAAGGTCCATGGAGGAAGTGGCATCAGGCGTGGGTGCAGTGTTTAGGGGTGCGAGCGTGGAGTGGGCCCGCCGGGCTCGCCTCCGCTGGCTGTGTACCCAGGCATGTGCCTTTGGGCTTCAGGTTCCTCAGCCATCAGAGGGGACAATAAAGGACTTGCTTTAGACAGCTGTGGTCAAGAGTAAATGATGGTTTATGCTGAGGGTTTAGAACTGTGCCTGGCACAAATTTAAAAGTTCACAACAGAAATTGGTGTATGTGTTCACTGGTCTTGAGGAAGGACTAAGTGTTTGGCTGGTGAATTCAGAAGAACGCTCCCCAGAGTGACTGGCACTGAGCAAGGGCTGAAGCCTGAAGCCTACTGTGTGCGGGACCAGTGGGCACTCCTCTCTCAGGGCCGAGCAGCACAGTGAGGAGAGGTGGTGTGGGCCAGGCTATGTCCAGGGCACAGTGGGCGCCATCGAGGGCTGTTAAGCAGAGCAGGGACATGGCATCTCGAGAGGTGACCCTGAGGGCCATGTAGAAAATGGGTTGGGGATGCTGTTTTGGACAAGCCGTGTGTGAGTTCCTGAGGGACTGGGCCATGGCAGGAGGGACAGGACTGCAGCTGGGGGCAGAGCCCACCTGGCGGGGTTAACTCACACCTGCACTCCTATGGAATTCTGGGGCCAGGGTGTGAAGGTTCTTAAGTGCCAGGGAGGGTGTGGGGGTGAAAGAAACGCCAGGGGCCAACTTGGGGACACTAGCATGACAGAGGAGGACAGAGTGGGAAGATCACATGTATTGGTTCAACCAGATTTACAGAGCACCTACTGTGTTCCAAGCATTGTTCTGTGAACTGTGGACACGGCCGGGAATGAAACAGAACAGAGGCCTGCAGGCTGGAGGAAGCAGCTGCCTCAGGCCCTGGGATAGGGAGACAGCAATGGGGTGCTGGGAGCAAGCGGCCTCAGTGGGAAGGAGGATGGGAGGGGACAGCCAGGCTTGGGAAGTTGGTCTCCAGCCTGCAGGCAGTGGGGAGCATTGGAAGCTGTGGAGCAGAGAGGGATGTGGTCAAAGCCTGCGCCATGAACTTTCTGGTGAAACATCACCTCCAGGTTCCCTGAGGAAGGAGGGGATGTGCTTTAGCCCAGGTGCCTCTGCAGCTCAGGCACTGTTCCTGGGGCTTCATATCCTGTATCTCATTTAGGCCTCACTATAACCCTAGCTCCCCAGCTACTCAGGAGGGTGAGGTGGGAGGATCACTTGAGCCCAGGAGCTGGACTGCACACCAGCCTGAGCGACAGAGCAAGACTGTCTCAAAAAAAAGAAAAAGAAAGAAAGAAAGCACAACCGTAGGTGTGGGCACTGTTTTTAATTCCCATTTTATTTTATTTTTAGAAACAAAGTCTCACTCTGTCATCCAGGCTGGAGTACAGTGGCATGATCATGGCTCATGGCAGCCTCCAATTCCTGGGCTCAAGTGATCCTCCTGCCTCAGCCTCCTGAGTAGCTGGGACTAGAGGCATGCTCCACTGCTCCTGGCTTTTTTTTTTTTTTTTTTTTTTTTTTAATATTTGTTTGTAGAGACAGAGGTTTCACTTTGTTGTCCAGACTGGTTTCAAACTCCTGACTTCAAGCAATCCTCCCACTTTGGCCTCCCAAAATGTGGGGACTAGAGTCATGAAACACTCATTTTAGAGATGGAGAAACTAAGGCTCAGAAAGTTAACAAACCAGCCCAGCATCAGGCACCCCAGAAGTGCCAGAGCCAGGATCCATTCCCAGACCTGTCTGCTTCCAGGGCGTGAGCTCCGTTCACTGCTCTCAGGTTGAGGGCCTGAGTGGGGACAGGGAATGGCCCAGGCTCCAGTAGGCTGGAGCGCCACACCAGGGAGGCTTCCGTCCCAGGCAGACCACAATCCTGTCCTGGCTTTCCCAGGCCCCATGCTTGGCTCGCACTGAGCCCCTGGGGACTTGGGGCCACAGATCTGCAAACTTTCCAACAATAAGCATCCATTAAGAGCCATCGGGGATGATGTATCTTTCTGGGTAAAGCTACCCTTGTATTATGACAAGTCCTTGGCAGCCCTGCTGCGTTTCAGAGAGAATTAGAAATGCTTTTCTTCCTTAATTCTCCTCTCCTGCTGCTCCTAATCCGATCGACATTGCGGTCTACAAGAACATGCCTTGGCTCTCTTTTGCCAGAAACTTAATTTACATGGAAAACAGCTGCTGGGTCAGGAAGCCGAGAGCCCATCTCGAGGCTGGGCACGCCTTCTCCAAGCCTGGGCCTGGCCCTGCTGGCCTGGGAGGGCAGAAAAGCTCTCAGCTGCTGTGTGATGTGGGGCAGGGCTCTCACCTTCTCTGAGTCTGTTTTGTCCTGGAGAAGAAGAGCATTTGGATGAGCCAAGCTTTCAGATTTCTCTGAGAGAAGCGGCCTTCCCATCCAGGTGCCTGCCCCAGTCATCGCCCAGTGTTCTGAAGGCCTCACCCTGTTCCCATTCTGGCTCTGGAAGATGTTCTGAGGTGACTGTCTGGGAACAGCCAAGGGTTGTTGGCCAAAGATTTGCTTGGGTTACTGGGTGCACCCCAGCCCAGGCTTGCCCTTAGCCAAGGGACCTCAAGTCCATATACGGATCCATCGTGCCCATGACGGGGTGACCAGATGGGGCTCGGCCAGCTGGAGCTCAGCCAGCCCTACCACAGCACTTCCAAAGCATGCCCCCAGCCATCGCCTCATTACTGCTTATGGCCTGGGGTGAGGCGTGACTGTTGCTGCTTATTACAGGCTGGGTAGGCAAGACCCAAAGAGGTTGTGCTATTTGTCCAGCATTACACAGGGAGTAAGAAGAGGTGGGATGGGATCCGAGCCCAGCTCTTCATCCCTAGCCCTGAACTATTTCCACTGAACCTTGTACCAAGAAGGAAGGAAGGAAGAGCTGGGGCGGGGTTGGGGGAGGCTGCCTGCACATCTATTGCGCTTTACTCCTACCGTGTCCGTTCACCGGCGTGGCTGCACAGAATGCACCTGTAGACCTCAGCTACCCATGGGAGGCCCCACTGCTGCACTTTGCCACCATTCTGTGTATGTGTTGAGGCCCCACCTGCCACAGGCTGCTCCCAGCAATGACTGAGTGTGGCAGGCCTAGCAGGGACACTGAGGCAGAGCCTTCCTAAGAGGCGCTGGACTCCCTGACATCCAGCAGACCTTGACTGCTGAGGACTCCCTGAGTCCCTGTCCTGGAGGCTCCCGCCTGACCCCTTCTCCCTGCCTCCCTCTCTCAGTCCCTGGGCTTTCCCAGCCCGTCCAGTTCACAGATGGCACATCTCCCATTTAAATCCTTGCATGTTGAATCCCATCGTGGCATCTGCTTCTCAAAGGACCTGGACTAACACCATCTTCACGATGTACACAGTCAGCCCATTTCACAGATGGGGAACTGAGGCACAGTGAAGGGAAGGGTCTTGCCCTGGGGCTGCAGTCCTTTCTGCCCTGTCCCCTAACGGGAGGGTTGCTGGTGGGCAGGGGTCTCACACTAACACCTCCTTTCCCTCTGCTTGCTCCCCAGCTGCACGCAGGCCCTGACGCGGAGGCCGACGTCCTGACCGAGTGTCTGGCCCTGCAGCAGCTCCACGCGTCCACACAGCTGGCTGCCAGCGACGGCAAGGGTGGCTGTGGCCTGGGCCAGGAGCTGCTCCCAGGTACGTGTGCGGGGAGGCGGGGCCAGGGGCATAGCCCAGGAGGGGCCTTTCTCTGCGCACAGTCAAGGACAAGTGATGTTCAGTGGGCCGCCCACATGGGCTTGACTTGTTGTAGGCACTCACTCATCTGGACTCGGCTGCCTCTGCCTCTGGCTCCCTACTTCCAATCCATCTTCTCCCTGCGGCTCCTCTAACTAGGCGGACGTTCCTTCACATTCTTCTGTGGTTCCCCATTGCTCAGAGAATGAAGCCCTCACCCCTCTCAGCCTGGCCTTCAAGGGGTGTGGGGCCTGGGTCCTCCTGGCAGCCTCTTGCCTCCTCCTCGGCGTGTTGGATGCAGTTCCCTGAACACGCTCTGCTCCTGCTCCCACCACCCCTGGGCACTGTCTACACCCAGCCAGCCCTCTTCTCCCACCCTTCATGAAGGTAGCTCCTGCCCTTCCTTCAGGACCCACCTCCTTGCCCCCTCCTCCAGGAAGTCTTCCTGTGGGCTTCGCTCTGCCCCAGTGCTGAGCACTCTGAGCTGTCACTCTGCTTCCCATCTGCCCATCTGTCTCCCCCACCAGACTGTGAGTTCCTCAAGGGAGGCCCATGGTCTGCCTCATTCTGGGGTCACCAGCACCCGGGATGGGGACATGTGCAGAGCCGGGCTGGGGGAACCCACGGCGCTGCCCCGAGCATCCTCAAGAGAGGCTCTGGTGCCCTTGCTGATGGTCCATGCTGCCAGGATCATCTGCAGGGAGGAACCGTCTTCAAGAAGAGCCCATTCTGCCCCTGGCCTTGACTCCTGCTCCAGAGGAGAAAACTGAGGCTCTGAGAGGATAGGAACTTAGCCCAAATCACTTCCAACTCATCGCTAAACTCTGTGGCCCAGAGATGGGGACCCCGGACCCCTGGGACTCTGCAGGCCCCTCCAACCAGACGCTAAGGGCCTTTGGTCCAGCTGAGGTGGCCTGTCTCTCCCTCCCAGCAGCTGTGGGCCATGGGGCAGGTCTCAGGCCACAGCAGAAATTCCTGGCTTTGAGGCTTGGGCATCCAGCCCAGATAAGGGCAGCATGGCCTTTGGATTCCATCTGACAGTACTTGTGCTCTACCCCCGACTCCCCTAAAGAAACCACGATATCAGAGCAGAAAGCTCTGCCCACCCACTGGGATTTCTTGAATTACTCCAACCATTTTAAACATTTTTTATTTTCTAATTTTTTATTCTTTCCCCTCAATGTTGAAGTAGCAACAGATTTAAAAATATATCAAAGCACTTGCCAAACAGCCTCAGGAAGAAAAGCCTTTTAGCCTTTCTCATGGGTCCCCCTTTCCAGGGGTCTGTGCTCAGGCAGGTCCACGAGGGTGAGGACACAGGCGGATGGGTGCCTGGGGGAGGGTCTATACCCTCCTCACGTCTAGCTAGAGGACCCCTCTGCGTGGCTGCTTCTCACAGGGTCAGAATTGCTAAAATGACAGGGCTGGAAGGGACCGGGGGGCTGATCCAACCCAGGGACGAAGGTATCTCAAGTGCCAGCTCCTAATAAACGGTCATGACAGTGACCACTTGGAGCTCCGTGTTGAGAAGGCCTCGGAAGCTGCTTCCCGATTCAGCCAGAAAGAAAGCTGCCGCAGAGGAGCATTGCTGCCCCCAGTGCAAAGGTCTTGTGCCTACCCCATCAGTTTCACCTTGGGAAGACTCAGGCCTGGGCAGCAGAAGGAGTCACCTAAAGTCATCCAGAGAAGTCAGCAGCCAGTCCAGGCTGCAAGCTTGTTCTCCCAGATGCCAGCCTCAGGCTTGTCCCAGCGAGAAGGGACAGGGCCAGCAGTTGCCATCTCTCGAGCACCTGCTTGGGCCTCTGACTTCACAAATACCCTCTCATTCAATCCCCAACTACGCTGTGCAGTAGGATGTGAACCCACGCTACTGAGGAGAAACAGGGTCAACTGAGGCCCCATCATCACAGGTTGGAGGAGCCACTCCTGCTGAAGCTGCTGCCCTTGCTCTGTGACATTAAGTGGTGTCTTCCTGCTTTGAGCCTCAGTTTCGCTCCCAGGCACTGAGGGATCTCATTTGCTATGAGAACAAATGTGATCATGGATGCGGTCACTTACATAAACCCTATGTGACTGAGCGTCTTACTGTTATTGTAGTTCATGGTGAGCAAGAAGAATGACTGTATACTCATCCACCTTACAATCATGCACAGCCAGCACATATTGACTGTGCCAGGCGCTGCTCCAGGGACTGTGCGTGGACTTCACTGCCATCGTCCTCACATCGGCCTCAGAAGGCACACGCAAGCCACAGCCAGCAGGGGCAGAGGCAGGATTGGAACCCAGACCATCTGTGCAGGCTGTCCTCTTAACCAGAGCCTGCACCTCCCTGCTGCTAGTGCTGCTTCTCTTCTATACTGAGCACCCATCCTCGAGCTGCTTCCAATGCAGCGGGGAGGGCAGGACCAGCCAGGTGAAGCCCAGGGTCCTAGATGCCCCAGGATCTGGCCTGCTGGGTTCTTCTGCAGGCCGCAGGGCAGATGGCTGAGAGGGGAACAGATGTTAGGGCCAGAGGTTACGCGCTCATGGCTGATGATTGATGACACAGCTTTACAGCCTGAAGTGGTGCGTTTTGGGGAGAGCCCATCAGGCCCCGTGGCATCCCCACTTCCGCTGCCCCTCGCAATCCCGTGGTTCCTTCATTCCCATCTGCTGTTCACTGACATGGTCGGCATCTCTAGTTCACACACTCGGTCACCCACCCTGTGTCCGTCCTTGGTGTGGAGACTGGACAGGCAGGGACCTGGCCCTGGGGCAGGGGCAAGGGCAGGGGACTAAGGAAGGATTCGCAGAGTCCAGAACAGAGGGGAGAGGGTGAGGGACGGGCTGCGGAGGGAGACACCAAATTTCCATTGTCCAATTGCAGGACGCTCCCTCCAGTAGGGACCAGCTCTATCCTGCGCGGGAGACCCCCCGCCCAACCCCTGGGAGCTTATCTGCCAGGCCCATCCTGAGCAGATCCACGGTAATGTGATGGGCAGTGAGGACTTGAGAAGCACGAGGTCAGCATGGCTGAGGGAGAAGGTGCAGGATTGATCAGGATTCTAAGCCTTCCCAGCTGTCAGGCCCCCAAATTGATTCAAGATGGCAGGCGAAGAGGTGCTAAGGAGAGTGGTGAGTGGCTCAAACCGTGGGCAGCTCCTCGCCAGGCTCCCTCCACAGACACCGCTTGAGGCGCCTTCCCCCAGCTGGGGAGGGAGGCAGTGGCTGGACAGACAGGTGGTGCTACGCCTGGGAGCAGAGTCCCAGAGGCAGGGAGCGGTAAGGACGGCAGCCCAGAGCCCCCGGGTCTCACAGCAGCCAGCAGTGACGCCTGTCCCAGAGCCGAGGCCTCAATCGGGTATCCAGCCCATCACCTGAGCTGGAGCCACTCCTAGCCAGGGCCTCAAGTGGACTTTCTCTCCCCGCTGCTTGGAAGATGGGCCTGATGAGCCGCCTACTCTGTGACTTTGGACCAGTTGTTCAACTTGTTAATATTTAGTTTCCTCATCTTAAAATGGAATATATTATCTTCCCCACTGACATTTGTCAAGCTGGTTAAACTAGATAATGTGGACAGTTTGGCACATAGTATGTTTTTAATTAATGGTAATTATTTTGATAGTAGAATCTCACATGATGTAACGTAACGTAGGGTGCTTGCAGCTCTAACTCCAGGCCGGGAGTTGCAAACTGTTTGGCCTCATAGGCACAGGGGCACTTTTTGCTTGTTGTTGTTGTTTTGTTGTTTTGTTCTGAGACGGAGTTGCCCAGGCTGGAGTGCAGTGGCACCATCTCGGCTCACCGCAACTCCCGCCTTTTGGGTTTAAGCCATTCTTCTGCCTCAGCCTCCCAGGTAGCTGGGACTACAGGTGTACGACACCACACCCAGCTATTTTTTGTATTTTTAGTAGAGACAGGGTTTCGCCATGTTGGCCAGGCTGGTCTCGAATTCCCGGTCTTAAGTGATCCTCCCACCTCAGCCTCCCAAAGCGCTGGGATTATGGGCTTGTTTTGTTTGTTTGTTTTTAACGGTTTCCATGTGAAGGTCTTTCTGGGACGTGTGCTTTCCCCTTTGCCACAGGCCCCGCTGCTCCCCTCATTAATCTGTGCAGTTTCATTTATTTTGCTCCCTGCCATGCTGTCTGAGGCACTGAGCTTGCTGTCCCTGCCACAGCCCTGCTCCATTCCCTGCAGCAGCCTCCTGAATTGCAGGTCTGGGCCAAAGGGGCGAGCCTGGGATGAGCTAGCCTTGGAACCCCAACCAAATGAGAAGGTAAAAATTTCCCTTACCCCATCCATGAAAGGAGACTGGTGTATTCTCAGATTGGTCCTTATGGTGTAATAAGAGCACTGGTCTGGATCCGTGGTAACCAGAGTGCTATTCAGCATGTTAACAGCTGCCCTGGTGCACACTGGCCAACACCACATCAGTGCAGCCCCGGGCTAGCCCCCAGGTCACACAGAGTCCATGAGTGCAGCCCCGGGCTAGCCCCCAGGTCACACAGAGTCCATGAGTGCAGCCCTGGGCCAGTCCCCAGGTCACACAGAGTCCTCCCAGGGCATCTGCTGGATGCATGGACTGCAAAGAAAATGATGTCAATTGCTGTTAAAATAAACATGGCCAGATTGAAGACGGTATGCAAAACTGGCCACTCCCTAGAGAGATGAGCCCCAGAGAAGCCACAGCAAGGCTCAAGAAGGCCTGGGCTCCATTCTGGGTGTGGTGGCCTGGAATGCAGGCCTTTCATTCATCTTTTTTTTTTTTTTTTTTTAAAGATAAAATAGGGAACATCAAAAACTTACAACTCTTGCTGTGTCTTTCCTAGGCTCCAGTCCCAGAGTAGGAGTTTATTTCCTACTCCGATTACGGTTTCTTGGTGAAGGCATTTGGGGAGTGCTGGGTTCACCAACTCCAAACCCTCAGTTGGGCCCCTGGAGCAACATCTGACTGTGACCTAGTGTCCCCCATTGATTTATTAGCCTCCCTGTCTTAACAAGGGGAGGACTCTAGGGGGTAAAAGGTGATAAAAAGTGGCATCACCCTGCAGGTGTCTTCTGAAGGTTTAGAATCTGAGACGAATGTGGCTGACTCCTCTCCTCAGTTGGGACCCTTGTTCAGTACACAGCCCGTACAACCATCCATGGCAGCCCTTCTCAGAGGTCTCCCAAGCCAGGTGCCACCCAGCTAGTGCAGTCATCTCTCTTTGGAAGCCTTTACAGTGGACACCCCAGCTCTGCTTGCATATCTCTGGGGGAGGTAGTTATTCTGTGCAAGGGCAGCCCATTGCCCTGCAGCAGCACTGCCTGTTAGAAGGCACTGCGGTGCCCTGGGCTGCTGTCTGCTCTCAAGCTTCTCTCCATTCCTGGGTCTCTGCTTCCGGGACTACATGGAACAAGCCCCTTCTTTTCCAGAACAGCACCACAGAGATTTGAGGCAGCCTGCCCTATACATGCTCCCATCTCAAAACAGACACACACACAGACACAGACACACACACACACACACACACCCTGAGCACCCCGTGGCTCTGACAGCCCCTTGCCAGTCCACCTCTGCTATCAGGGTGAACCCCAGCCCTGGACACAGCCCTTTAGCCGCCGGGGTCTGCAGGGCTGAACTGAGTGGAGTGGGGCCAGTACCTCTCTTACTGGGGCTCCTAAACTTCCAGTGATACAACGTTGCTCATTTTCCCTCTTGCCTTTCTTTCTCTATCATCAGGCACACACAGCTCCTGGGTCATCACAGCCATCTCTAGGGAGTGGCCAGAGGCCAGTGAGCCTTGTTTTATTCCCTGCAGGTGTGTATCCTGGCTCCATCACCCCCCATAATGGACTTGCATCAGGCCTCCTGCCCCCAGCGCACGATGTACCTTCTAGGCACCACCCACTGGATGCCACCACCAGTTCCCACCACCATCTGTCCCCTCTGCCCATGGCTGAGGGCACCCGGGATGGGTATGTACACCAGGCCAGTCCTCTTGGGGCAGCAAGGGGGGCTCTGGGGGGGAGGTAGGGAGGGCAAGTGTCCCGCACTATCTATCTGCTTGTTACTGATAATGAAAATAGCCAACCTTCAGGGAACACTGACTGCGGACTGCATTCCACACACTTTCTGTGCATGATTCCATTGGTGCCTGCGGTAACCCTGAGTAGACAGTATTGGCTTCTGAATGCCTCATTCCGTGCAGTCCCTCCTCCCCACTGGAGGACCCTGGGAAAGTGCTGTGGCCCCTCCCAGCGACCCCTGCATTCTGGGCTGCCACACCCAGAATGGAACCCAGGCCTCCTCAGGGCCTCACTCTGGCGTCTCCTTGGCTCATCTGTGCATTTGGGAGCAGACTGCCCACGGCGTGCACTCCACAGATACTGGTCTGGGCCCCACACCCATCTCCAGCCACTGCAGCTGTGACACTGCCCGACCTGCAGGGACTGTCTGGGAGCCTTTACTTCTGGATCACTGCGGAGAGAGGCAGCCTCTTCCTGCACCCAATGTGGTTTTCATTATGGCCACTTAATTGACTGGAAATGGTGAATGTGTTAATTGCTGGACCATCATCTGCCAAAATCTGTTTTTCTTGCAAATGAGCAGAGGGGACGCCTCACAGCCCCGCCCTCCTGCCCTCCCTGCTGTTTTTTGCTGATCACCTTGTCCCTGCAGACCTGGCCCCAGCACCTTCCTCCTTCCCTGCCCTTCCTCCTCCTGGCTGCAGCCTTGGCCTTGGCCTGCCTGTGCCTGGGGCCAGCCTGGCTTCGTCGCCACATTTGTGGCCCACTGCTCCTATTATTACTGGGCTCCTTCTGCCATTCATTCACCCATTCATTTGGTGTTCAATTATGGAGCCCCTGTGGGCAGGCCCTGGGCCCAGTGCTGGGGCTGCAGATGACTCTGGCCCTGGAGATGCTTACTGTGAGAGGGAGACCGACCACACAGGGCGCCAGTGGTGTGCGGCAAGGAAGCAGAAGGGCTGTGGAGCCCAGAGGAGAGCCCAGTGGGGTGTGGCTGCCGGGAGGATATTAGGGAAGGCTTCCTGGAGGAGGTGAGGCTAAGCCAGACCTCCAAGGTGAGGCTGGAGTTGGATGAGTGGAGAGGCTGGGAGGAAGGAGTAGCAAGAATGAAGGTAGGCATGGTGAGAACTTGGGGTGTTCTGGGAAACGTGAATCATCCATGTGGGGTGACGAACTTGGGAGAGATGTCACCAGGTCCAGATCCCAAGGCCTGAGATGAGACTCAACCTGAAGAGTGTTGAGCGGTGATGTGCTCAGGTTTGGGGATGAGGACGCAGGGCAGCATTACAGGGGTGGGGTGGACTGTGGGGTGCTGGATGGATGGGATCCTGAGCCAGGGCCTGGTTCAGGCTGGGGAGGGGGAGGCCGGAAGGCAGTGGAAGGCAATGGTGGCACAGAGGCAGCGGGAGTGGGAAACCCGAGCTGGGAAGGGAGAGGAGGGGGCCTCAGGGATGAGCTGAGGGTACAGAGGGGCTGCTGACAGGCAGGGGAAGATTGCGGCTGTGAGTGTGAGCAGAGAGCCATGAAGAGGCAGCCTGAAGGGGCTGCACAGGGGGACCCAGAACACCGGGCCCTCCTCCAGCCTCAGCTGCGGCTTCTGTGAAAGGCATTAGAAGGCACTCCCTGAGGAAGGTGGTGAGGGCCGTACACATGCCTGACACTGTGTACCTCACCTGGCACAGGCTCCACTACGATGGTCCCTGCCCCCACCCATACCTGCTCAGGCCACCTGCTCACCCACCAACCAACTGAAAAACATCTCCAACCAAAGGAAAATAAACCACGAAGGCCGCTCGCTGCTCGGGCCCGTGCACTCTGCTCCGCCTCATTCATCACCTGCCTGCCGCCTGCGTAAGTGCCCGTCAAGAATTCTGCAGCGAGAAGCAGAGTGATGACAAGACGGGACCCCCGCCTGCCCACCCCTGCCTGCGGGTAGGAGCCTCGGGTCCAGCTGCAGGAGAGAAGCATCCTCGTGCCTGACACCAGGCCCAGGCCCAGCGTGAATGGGTTTCTTTTTTCATCCCCTGAGAAGAGAGTGGGGAAAGGGCCTTCAGCCTCCACTTCCTGCCAAAGTCAACAAGGAACGGCCACTCGTGGCTCCCCAGTGGTTTGCTGGGACGTTTAAATAGCTTGACAGAATTATCTGATTCACTCGAAAATATGCTAAGAGGGCCTGACTTCATGACCAAATTTATTTACCCTGGCTCAGAGAAGACGCCGAATAGGGTATTTTTTTTTTTCCCAGCCTTGTGCGAGGTATGAAGCCCTCGGTCTGCCAGGCCAGTGAGGTTTTATATTAATTTTTATAGGTTCCAGTTGAAGCAAAAATATTTGATTTAGGAATCATTTGCATGACTCAGAGGAGGAGCTCCAAAAGATGTTTTTTGCCTTTTAAAGAGTTCAGGTAGAGCAGCACAGCCTCCGGCGTCATGTCTGCTGTGGACAGAGTTGTGTTCTGTTCAATTTCACTGGCTGTGAAGGTGGCAAATGTGAATTTATGGTGGAGTGAGACAGGAAAAACAAACTTTTGAAAACGCATGTTTTTTCCCCTTCATATCTGGTTCATCTTAATCCTGCAATGCCGTTAATCTCTGGGGTTTGCAGTTGAGAAATTCAGAAACTCATTTATTAGTGTCATCGGTTGTTCGCTGTGTGCCAGGCCCAGCGCTGGGCACCGGGTGACCGAGAAGGACCAAGACCTGGCGCTCCCTACGGGGGCTCTAGGAAACCAGGGGAGGGCTGAGTTGTGGGTGCCCAGATGGGATGGGGATAAGGCAGCCACCACACAGCAAGCCTGCAGGAAGGAGGAACTACTCCCGGGCCAGGCCCTGGCCCAGCTTCAGCCAGGAGAACTGGTCATAAGAACACACAGCTTGTGCACAGCTGTCCACAGTTCCTAGTGCATAGAGGAGGACGCTGTCCCACTGGATCACCCCATAAGACAGGCCTAAAAATAATGACGATAATGATAATTTATTCCTGGAGGTGTGATGAGGATTTGGCTCATGAACTTAAAACAGTGACAGGGATCCAACAGTGTGTTAGTGGCTGGGCCAGGGACCCAGCACCAAGGCCTTGCTTCGCCTGTCCTCAGAGAGCTCACAGTCATGGGGGCCCCACACATATGGATGATGACAGCAGACTGGAGGGGCAGTCGAGGGGCTGCCAATGTTGGAGGGGCAGAGAGGAACTTGGCATGGAACAGATGCGGAGACACCAGCCTCTCTCCAAATCCACTTTCCCCATTTCCAGATAGCCCTGCTTCCTTCAGAGAGGCACTGATCTGTTAACACTTGGTGTCTCAGAGGGTGGGCAAGGGTCATGAGGTCACCTGGAGCTGTGACATTGAATTCGCTGTGTATTTTTATGTGGATGGTCCAGCAAGCCACAATCCAGACAAGAAAATGGGGACTCTGAGCTCTCACTGTCTCCCTCGTTCTGCCATGCACATAAATGCTTTACAAGCTGTGAGCCTTCAGCCTTGTCCCCAGAGCCCCCAAGCCGTTGAACCCAAAGTCATTTTAGCCCCTGTGAATGGGGCCCAGGGACTTAGGAAGGTAGCGTGAGAAGGGAACCTGGCCTGCAGTCCAGGTAGTGGGCCCCCGAGCAGGGCTGGGCTCAGGGCACCTGTGCCGCTGTCAGCCTCTGCAGTCTTGTTTCAGAACATGAGCTTCCAGAGTGCACAGTCTAGAGCCTGCATCCCTCAGGCCCTGTATGAAGGCAACTGGTGAACCCCCCATCGCAGGAGGTGTGCAAGTGGAGGAGAGATGGCCAGGGTTGGAAACAAGAGACGGTTCTTTAGAGTACACTGTGCAGGAAAAAAAATGCCAACTTGGCCATGGGACCGACTTGCTAGTTTTTCTTTCCTTCCTCTTCATAATGATGATGATGATTGATGGAGTGGCTAAGAATGTATCGGACATCACACTTTGTCTACATTGCTTTAATGTCACCCTCACTGTAACCCCTGAGGTCAGTGCTGTGTGGCTGGGAGTAACTTGGGCAAACCTCTCTGAGCCTTGGTTTTCTGGTCTGCAAAAAGGACACAAGAACACCTGTCTCCCGGGGCCTGGAGCAAGTCAGGGGCTCAGTGGATGCTGACTGTGAGTGCCATGGGCTGCTCCAGGGCTCCTCATCCAGGTGGCCAGAGTGGCGTGCACGAGGCAGAGAGCCGGGCACCCAGCAGGTAATGAATGCTGCAGCGTGCCCAGTGATGAGCCAGCAGTCCTTCCAGGAAACCAAGGCTCAGAGATATTAAGCAACTTGCCCAAAATAGTTGGCCAGTGAGAGCAATGAGGGGTGCGAACACAGTTCTCTAAGCTGGAAAGGTTGTGCCTCTTACCCAGATCTTTGCTGACTCTCCTAAATACCAGACTCCAAAGCTTACAGGATTGAAAAGTTTGGCTTGAACATGACCAAAAATAAAAGCTCCTCTTCTAACTATTGTAAGTCGGAGCAGGTCAGTGGTGAGTGGGCTCCCCGTTGCTGGAGGGGAGTAAGCCACAGCAGCCCTGCCTCTGGCCCCCACCCTCCACACCCCTGCCTGCTGACGGGCATCTCTGTTCTCTCCAGGTTGGGGCCCGGCCTCCTCTCACCCATAGTCAGCCCCCCGAAGGGGCTCGGGCCACCGCCGTTGCCCTCGTCCTCTCAGAGCCATTCTCCTGGGGGCCAGCCCTTCTCCACACTCCCCAGCAAGCCGTCCTACCCACCCTTCCAGAGCCCTCCACCCCCGCCTCTGCCCAGCCCACAAGGTAAGCTCTGGCCAGGGGCCCGCTCCGTATAACCCCCGATTCCCACTCAGAGACCCCAGAGCAACGAGGAGACAGCGGCCTAGTCGGGGAGGCAGGTTCTCGGAGAATGACTGACTGGGCACTGGGGGCTGAGAGAAGCTGGGAGACGGGACATAAGAGGCCCAGCTGGGGGCATGGCCTGGAGAAAACTGGTTCTGAGAGTGAGGAAGAACGTGTTCCGGGCAAGGCGGCAAAGGCCCGCTGCCCCGAGGAGAGGCCAGTGAGCGGGAGTGAGCGCGAGAGTGGAGGGAGTAGGCATCAGCCATGGGTGACTCAGGAGCAGCCATGTGAGACCATCTCAGCCACCCCTCGCCTGCCCTCCCCTCCCTGCAGGGCAGAGCTGAGAATGCCCCAGCCTCCTGCACCTTCTCTGCCCTGGGCCTCCTCTCTCTCTCTCACACCCACAATGCCTGGACAGGACAACACGGGAGGTGCAGCGTGCGGCAAGGATGTTCCCCTCCCTGCCCTGGGCACTTCTCCTTTGTGAACGCGGCCCCTGCCACCCCCATCTGCAGGTTACCAGGGCAGTTTCCACTCCATCCAGAGTTGCTTCCCCTATGGTGACTGCTACCGGATGGCCGAACCAGCAGCCGGCGGGGACGGACTGGTCGGGGAGACCCATGGTTTCAACCCCCTGCGGCCCAATGGCTACCACAGCCTTAGCACGCCCTTGCCTGCCACAGGTGAGCCCTGCCTGCGTGGCTCCTGGTCCTGGGCACCTGCCAAGGCTCAGCCCTGTGCTGGGTGCTGCATACACACTGTCCTGCAGTCTTTGGATGCTTCTGTGGTGGGGCCATCCCCACTTTACAGAGGGGGAAGTACAGGCTCAGAGAGGTCCCAGGACCCCGCAGAACTGTCTGTACCTGTCTGACTGGAAAGTGCATGCTCCTTCCACAGCTTTGCGAGCCTTATGTGTGTCTAATGCTGACAGGTTTCTGAAGAATCGGACTGGGAGCTCATGGTTTAATTACTGCTCCTCTTTATTTACTGAGCACCTACTGTGTGCCAGGCATAGCTGCAGACCCTGGGGATGTAGCAGGGAATGAACAAATCCTGGTCTCCCTTTGGCAGCAGAGGAAACTAGGTGGGGGCAGAGCCTAGACGTTGTGCTGTTCCTTCCCTGCATTGGTACCTGGTGCTGCCCTGCAGGGCCCTGGGCCTCCCCAGCTCTGCCCCAGGCTTGGCTAGGGAAGCCCGGGGAGGGGGAGGGTGCCCACAGCCCAGGCGGAACCGGGCTCAGATCAGCGGGGCAGGCCTAGTCAGAGCAGGGGCATCAGAAGGGAGGGGCTAGGCCCTCCCTGAATTCCTGGAGCTGAGACCCACCCTCAAAACAGCCTTGGGGCCCGGGTCTAACAGGTTTCCGGGGCTCCAACAAAGGGGAACCTGAGACCCCCCGCAAGAGGCGGGTCAGCTTTTGGGGCAGCTTTGATTGCGTAAGCGTGAGCAGGAGGGTGGAGGGACAGGCATATAGGGACAAGCGCTGAGGCCTCAGCTGGGTACATACCACCCTGTGGGTCCATGTCCATACACCTGCGCCCGTGCCAGGTGTCTGTGTGTGCCCGTGCTTGCAGGGCTGGCACAGGTGGCTCTGGGCAGCGTGCACTCCGTGAGTGTCAGGAGCTGGCAGGGCTGCACTCTTGTGTCCGCACACATGTGTTACCCCAGGTTTATGCAGATGTCCGTGCACCCCGTCTGTGTGCACATCATGTCACCCACCCCATGACTCATGGCCGTTGCCACAGACGCGTGCTTGTGTGCACGTGTGCACCTGTGTTTGAGGACCGTGCCCACAGGCCTGTGGGTAAACATGTGCCGTGTCCATGCGAGATAGACGTATGTGCATGTCCCCCTGCGTGACGTGGGGCCCACATGGAAGATGGGTGCTCTGTGTCTGTGTATACCCGAATTGAGGTGCCCAGCACTGTGGGCTCTCCCCATCTTGTCCTCCCCACCCTAATCCAGCCCACATGAGATTTCTCAGCTGAGCAGCAAGGCTTAGAATGAAGAGCTCTGAATGGAGCGGGAGGCAGCTTCCACGCCCCGCCCCTACACCGGCCAGGGTAGGTTCTTTCAGCCTCCCCTCTCCCCAGTGTCCACTGCAGGCCTGCTTAGCGGCCTTCTGCCCACACCTCCCTGGTCAAGCAAAAATCACACACAGAGCACAGAGCATTAAATTCAGACTGACAAGCTTCAGGGGCTGCAGGCCTCAGAACAGTTCAGCCCAACCCCACTGCATAGACTGAGGCTCACCTGTCTTAGGCCACACAAACGCGTGACAGCAGCTCATTGGCAGGCCTTTAGGGCAGGGGCTGGAGAAGATGACCCCTCCCGCCCCTCCCAAGTCAAGAGCCTCTGAGTGGTGGCCCCACCCTGGAGACAGCATGTCCAGTGGAAGAGCCAGGTATCTCTGGAGCCAGACGGACCTGGATTCAATCCCAGCTCCCCACCTTACTCACACTGACCTTAGGCAAGCATCCTGGCCTCTGTGCCTGCCTTCTCAGCTATAGAACAGGGAGGATAGTGCATCCACCGCATGGGAGCGTTGTAGAGCCGAAGCGAAGCAAGCTGAAATGAGCACTTACTAAGTGCCCAGTAAATGCTGGTGCCCTTCTTTGGGTTTCTTGAGTCTGGTTCGGGGATGCAGCTGAAAGGGTGGGGCTGAGCCGGTCCTTCTACCAGGAGGGGACCAGCCCCTGAGGGCAAGGGCTGAGCTGCTCCTACCCTACCCCTCTCCTTCCCCCACATTCTGCCCCACAGCCCAGCCCTGGTGATGGACCTGTGCCTCTCCCCTCAGCTGCCTGTCTCCCCAGGGTGTCAGCCCCGTGCCTGTCTCCCCAGCTGCCCTGGGCCCCCTGGGTATGCCAGGCCCAGGGTGCCTCCCAAGCCCTCACCCCACCTCAACCACCAGCTCCCCCATTTGGAAAAGTTGGGAGCTCCAAGCAGGCCCCACCGACGGGACACTGTGAGCGGGGACCCTGGGCAGGCGGGGTGGGGCCTGGGAACTGGGAAGCATGAGCAGGCACGGCCCCTGCTGCCTCCAGCACTGACCCTTTCCCACCCACTCACAGGATATGAGGCCCTGGCTGAGGCCTCATGCCCCACAGCGCTGCCACAGCAGCCATCTGAACCTGTGGTGTCCAGCGGCCCCGAGGACTGTGGCTTCTTCCCCAATGGAGCCTTTGACCACTGTCTGGGCCACATCCCCTCCATCTACACAGACACCTGAAGGAGCCCCCACATGCGCCTGCCCGTCCAGCACTGCAGATGCCACCTTGCCACCTGCTGCCGCTCCCACCCTCCGTGCACCCAGCGGGAGTGCCAGGCCACAGCCAGAACAGCCAGACCAAGACCCAGGGAAGCCAGTGCTGCCACACCACCCAGCGCTGCCAGGGAGCCACCATCCGAGCCTGCGCTGGGCACACAGAGGTGCCCGCCAGGATCCGTGGCCCTGTAACATTCCCTCAATTGCGTCTTCCCGTTCCTCCCCACAGTGGTTTTGAAATCACAGACCTCGTGTATATAAAATATGCAGAACTTGTTTTCCATTCCCCTGCCAGTTTTATATTTTTGGTTTTACAAGAAAAACATTAAAAACTGGAAAGGAGATGTGAGGGCCTGATTCTGCGTTGTGATTCAGCCCAGAGGCTGGGACCAGGAGAGCCTTAGAGGAGGGTGACAGAGCCGGGTGTTCAGGGCTAGGGAGGCCACATGGAAATCAGCTCAGGCCCTGGGTTCTGACCACAGGGATGGGAACCAGTGGCACGTGGCCCCCCCACCATGCGCTATGGTCCTTACAGACACCAGCGTTAGTCCCAGGACTGTGCAGTGAGGTAGGCCTATCCCCATGGACAGGTGGGCAAACTGAGGCTGGGAGGGTGTGGCAACGGGCTTCAGATCCCGGGCCCCACAGTCAGACCACAGTTGGGACCCAGCTCCATCTGACCTGGGCCCCTGCCTGCTACAGTGACTCCTCTGCAGGTGGGAGAACAAGCTTCAAATCTAGTGTCTGGGCTTCTGCAAACAGAGAAAACCCTGGGAGGGCCGGGCAAGCCTGCTGGGGGTAGAGCCCAAACAGCCTCACAAAGCCAGAGGCAAAGGCCGGTCCCTGCAGATAGGCCGGGTGCCAACAGCAGCCTTTGTCTCAGGAGCCTTGTGCCCACCCTGGAGGACCGAGGCTCGTGTGCGTCTGTCCCCATCCCCCGTCTGTCTCCCTCCAGCATCCAGCATGAGGAACAGGCCCATGCTCCAGGCCTGGGCAGGTGACCTGGATGGTGGGCAGCATCTCACCATGTCACCCTGATCACCTGCTACAAAGATCCAGGGAAGTTCCTGCCTCATCCCCTCTGGAGTGGAACCATGCAAGGACGGTCACGTTTACCACCCTCCCCATGCTCCCAGAAACAGCCTAGGGAGAGGTCTTCTTGTCCCCTCTGTAGGTGAGGAGTGGCAGCCAGCATTCACACCCTCACCAAAGGGCCGCCTCTTTGTACCACACGCTGACTTAGGCAGGCAAAGCCAGATGAAAGGCCCAGTAACCCCCTTCTATAAAGAAGGGTCTCTTATAGAAGACCCTCGGTCTCCCCTTTATAGAGAGGGAGACCGAGGGTCAGAGTGAACACCTAGCCACGTGGCGACAGAGCCGTGATGCGTGCCTGGTCCTCCCCCTCATCCGCGCTGCCACTGACGCAGTGGTGCCATGCTGGGCTGCGGGGCTTCCCGGGGACCTGCTCTCCGCCTCCCAGGAGCCTGCTGATGAGGTGCTTGCACCCATGCCCTACTGGAAATCAGCTCAGGCCCTGGGTTCTGACCACAGGGATGGGAACCAGTGGCACGTGGCCCCCCCACCATGCGCTATGGTCCCATCCACCGCATGGGAGCGTTGTAGAGCCGAAGCGAAGCAAGCTGAAATGAGCACTTACTAAGTGCCCAGTAAATGCTGGTGCCCTTCTTTGGGT